GTTGCCCTTTCCAGTTATAGGTATCTTAATAATTATTGTTGGGTTACACCAATGATTGGTCAGAATCTGAATCTTTGAGAAACTTGGAAATTTCAATCAAGATTTCACAACAGGGTCCATTGATTTTGAATCCCATGGTATGGCTCCTGCCATTTCTGTAAATTGTGATGATGTGTGTTTGAGGGAGCGCCAACAGAAGGTCGGACAAAAGGCAACACATCCGTCAAGGCAGGAAGAAACAAAACAAAAAAGCACAAAAAAGCATAGACTTGCACAAGCCAGTCTTTAGCGAGCCGCTCTGCGGCCTCTTTCTTCTTCTGTTCTAGCGCGGCCGCTGCGACTCTCTGGTCGTGCTCGGCCTTCTTCTCTAGCGCCAGCTTAGCTGCCATGGCCTCCGCCTCCTTGCGGGCCTTGGCCTTCGCAGCACTAGCGGCCGCATTGGCTGCGGCAAGCTGGTCTAGCTGGGCCTTTGCTGCTGCAGCGGCGGCCTCTGTAGCGGCGAACCTCTGAGTGAGGCCCGCGGACATAGCGGCATCCAAGCTAGCGATGTCCTCCTGGGACAGGTCGGCCCAGCTAGTAGCTGACAGAACTCGCCGCTCCATCATGTTAGCGGGGTTTTGTTGGCGGACGCCCCTATAGCCACTTCCTGGGCGGGGCCTCTTTGTCTAGCTTCTCGATCGCCTCGTGGGACATAGCGATCAGCTCTTGTAGCAGAGGCTTGTCGAGATAGCGGTGCGGCGGCGCAGCCCCTCCGCCGAAACCGTAGCGCCTTCCGCAGACCGCGGAGGGTCTCCGGGAGGTAGTCTCCACTAGCGGGCCCTTCGGCCGTAGCGGGGCCGTCTGCGGCCCCCTTGCCCTGGGGCGAAGTAGCTCGGGCGTCTTTGCCCTTTCCTCCCATAGCGGTGCCCTAGGCACAGATCAGGTGAAACTGCTAAGAAAATCTAGCGAGGTAGCAAAGCCGAGGGCTATCGTGGAGGGAGGTTTAGCACAGTCACTGGCTCCTGCACCTAGCTCCTTTGTTGCCCTGTTGCCTAGCGGGGTCCAAAACCCGCATGTCTCGTAGCGCCTTCCTGCAGGACGGACCTTGCGCAAGCACTGGCTCCTCTCCTCGCTCCTGTGTTCCCTGGGTGGCCAGCGAGGTCGCCCGGCCCCAGTTTCCTAGCGCCTGCCTCCGCTTCTTCACACACGCAACACAGCAAGTGACATGTAGCAAGAACGTGGTTCCCTCCCTCTCTTCTTTCTCCCGCCCCCCCCTCCCCCGCCCCCCGCCCCCGAAGGTCCCCCCCCCCCCAGCACAAGTCTAGCGGCGTTTCGCAAGGGAGGAAGAGAGGGAGAGGCAGAGAGGGGAGGACATGCGGTTCCGACCTAGCAGTCTTTCTAGCCTTGGTGCGAGTGCGAGTTCGGCGGCTTAGCACGCCCTGCGCTCAAGGATGACTGCTAGCGGACCCCGGTGCGAGATCCTCGGGGGCCTCGTCATCTTCCGAGTTAGCGAGCGACCCTTCGCTAGCGTCTCCTTCGCAGATAGCCCCTTGGTTCGGCCAGCATAGCTTACACACATGTGTGTACTCGTGCGGCCCCGGAACCGAATCAAGAATCCTAGCGTTGCGGAAAGCACGACGCTTCCCCATCCAGCAGCCCGTAGCGCCCGCCTTGCGCAGGCGGAAAATGGCACCTGGGACCTCTACGATTACATAGCTGCCCTGGCTGCGGTCGGGAACCCTGGCTTGCCTCTTAGCAGGCCGTTCCACGACCTCTGCAGAAGCCTCGGAGCTACTCCCGGCCACTAGCGGATCCGCGGGCTCGTCCGGTCGCTCGCGAACCTCTAGCTCCTCCGCATCGGTTGGGACTCCTAGCAGGCCTTCCATCCAGATCTTCCGCAGCCGTGCCGCCATATGGATAGCCTGGCTGTGGGTTAGCTTTGCCCTTTCCTCCAGCCAGGGCTTGAGGTCCGCGGCGATCGAGCGCTTCGTAGCGGTCGTCCCCCCTAGCTGTCTTAGCTTGGAGACGGGACACCCTACCCGCGAAGGATCTAGCGTACACGTCGGACCCCTCGGGTTTCCAACGCCCTAGCAGATCCTCATCCTGTGCGGGATCTCCTCTAGCGCCAAACCTGTTGGTAGCACCGAGCGCTCACTGTGCTCCGTCCAATAGCCCTGGACCTCCCGGGGTAGCCCATGATAGCCAGCAGTCCTGCAGTCGCCACCATAGCGTCCGCATAGGTAGGCATCTTCTTCTCCAGCTGCCCCGCCCGGCCCAGCCGCGGCATGAGGTAGTTCTGGGCGTAGTTAGCGTGGGCCTTCAGGAGATCGAAGCCGGTTACCAGCCAGCCCTTAGCGACCAGAAAGGCGTGCTCCGACACCACGACCGGTAGCTCCTTGACCCTTCTCGTAGCACCGGAAGTCTTTGTCTTCCGGAGGATGGCGGTGAGACGTCCTTCCACCATCAATAGCTCGGCCGGCAGGATAGCCTGAAGGTCCGACCATCTTAGCGTGGCCCAGACCTTGACCAACTTAGCCCAGGCCCAGATGCGCCAGCCCACCGCCAGGGCGGGGTTGATCACCACCAGTTCTAGCTGCACCAGCATTTGATCAAGGGGGCACCCTCCGCTAGCTGCTCCACTATGCTGTCCTTAGCGGCCCAGACCAGGCGACCAAAGGTGGTCCGTAGCTCGACCGGGTCGGCCACCTTCTCCATCCAGGAGATAGCCTTGAGAATAGCTTCCGGAACCGACCGGTCATCGCTCCTAGCGAGGAGGTAATCCACCAAATCAGCGGCGGTGCCCGGAGGCGGCCTGAGCTTAGCGGCGTGGAGCCATTGGCGCCACTGCCTATAGTAGCTCAGGTAGCGCTTCAAAGTAGAGGCCCGTGTCTTCCCTGGGAGCAACATAGCTGCCCGCACGGGATCCAGACTCCCATGCAGCTTAGCGAGAACAGGGGCGTGTATCTCTAGCAGCTCCTCGCGGAGCTTCTTTGCCCAAACCTCTAGCAGTCGCTCTTCCCTAGCGGCACTAATCGTGCCGGGCTGTAGCACCTTTCGGTTCCGCTCCCCGGGGGGAGGTCTTAGCGGCACCGGAGGCTGGTGCATAGCTTCCTCTCGACCTCTTCTCTTGGAGCCGGTAGCGGTGGCATCCGGGCCCTTCAGGTGATGTCGTCCTGGAAGTAGCCATGGAACCTCTGGTAGACAGTAGCTTCCTGCCGTGCTTCTTGTAGCCAACAGTAAACGCCATCCCATAGCCACGGCTGGTAACCTGCACCCTCGTTTGATACAATAATTGTTGCTCGTTCAGGGTTTCGTGCGCTTTCTGGCAAAGCGGGCGTTTATTGAGAATACGAGCGCTTCTTGTGTTGGAACGTGCGTTTTTGGAAATGCACAGGATATAAACGTGCACTTTTAGTAATCGCATCCGCAGCTTATATGCTTATATGGGGCCGAGCCGACTTCGTCGCCCCCATCTTCCTGATAGCGTGCCCTCCCAATGTGCACGCAGTTGTATGTCTGTGTACTCGATTGACGGCCATCTCCCCGATGTAGGAACCTCGGCTGTGTAGCAGGTACATATGGTGGCCATAGCGATCATCCTGGCTTTTTGATGCAGGACTGCCATATGTAGAATCAACTTTGTGTGCTGTCGCATGCAAACTTGGCAGGACGTGCTCTGGCGTGCCAACATCATCAAGTGCCCCGCTGATGCCCGCTCTGTTGCCCTTGTGCAGTTTGAACACAGAGCTGTGTCACTCATGTTGCTGCATGCACTCCGGTTGTCGACAGAACCTGGGCTCACACGGGTATGAGTTGAGTGGTTGATACGTGTTTGAGCTACATAGCCATACATGTGCAGATTGCAATGCATACGTATGTTGCCAATACTCGACATTTACGCATTTCATGATGGGCGGGTGTCGCCTCGATGCTGTGGTCACTGTCTGGTTGAAGGATGACTTGTTGAGTGCTCGTGGGAGCAGGGTTGGAAGGCTCACCGAACTCCCGGGCAAGAAAGTCAGTCGACGAGACGTGAACTCGAATCATGAGATTCTCATTCCAGTTATCGAGCACTTCGGGATGAAGCTTCACATAGGGTATGCGCGCGAGCTCTGCCGAGAATTCTTGTGGAAGACTAAACCACGGGGCCAGCCTGAACCCACATGTGTCTTGCTTGGACTCTATTCATCCTTGTAGTGCTTCTGTACAGTTTCGTTCAGATCTTTAACTTAGCTAGGCTTTGAAGAGCCTGGCAAACATGTAAGGGACCCGCATCAAGCAAGAAGGATGGAAACTTCGTCGTCTACTTACAACACTGTCTCGGGCCGCCAAGAGGCCCCACTGGCCACGTCAAGTGGGCATGCAGAAACTTTTCGAAGCAGCTGGGATTCCTCGTCCAAGTGCCTGGGCCGTGCTTCTCTTTCGGGCCAATTGCACATACCATGCACAAACAGCATATCGCGTAATCAAGTTTCGATCGAATCAAGGCCGCACGAAAAAGGCTTCCAAACCATCTTCGTCGGAGAGTTCTGGTAGTGATGAATCAGATGATTCAGATGCTGAGTCTGGCTCCAGTGACTCCGGTTCAGCCGATTCGGAGTATCCAGCCACGACAGTTGCTGGGTCAAGAATTGTTAGCCTAGATGCTTATACTTTTAAAGATCGGCTTTGGATGGGCCTGTGCACGTGCAATAGACTCCTAGGCTCCGTCTGTGGCGGATAGTGCTCGCACCATGGATCGTGCTGCAGCTCTGGCTATTCCCGGTGTTTTGTCTTAACTGAGTCTATATCACGTATGCTTAGTTGTCGTTGGGGTGCATAGTTCCAGCCAAGCGACGCCTGCTCCAATAAGGCAAGCTATCGCCACCGTCGTCTGTGCATACACCTGCCGCCCGAGGACAGAGATAGCAGACTCCATCACGTGTTCTGTTACATCGCACACAACACGTACATATGCATGTATGTGCACACGTATATATGCTCTCTCACGATCAGGACCTCCGACATTGGATGCGGACACCATGTCGGCCGAGAAGGTTTCCAACCCGAACAAGCGAGGGCAGGAGCATGTGCTGCTGAAGAGCACCACGGTTGGGTATTTCTGTTCGAAATGCAAACTGTATGGCCAAGATCCTTCAGCTATCCGCCCACTGCCCTGTGTGGAGATCGTTTTCAACTCAGACGATGAGGCCGAGTCCCCCAAGCCGAAGCATGCTGATCTGAGAAAGAAAACCAAGCTTCTGAGGGATCTGAAGGAGGAGACGTTGTATCTCGAGCAATTGCTCCTGATGAAGAAGAAGGAAGCCCGGAAGAGGGAGCTCGCATCTGCTAAGGAAGCTGCCGTTTGTGCCGCTAAAAGCATGGAGGACGAGAATCTTTCAAAGCCGGGTTTCTTGGACTAGAAAGAAAACCTGCATGGAACATATTATGAAGTTTTCGTAACCACCCAAAGCCCCGCCCAGGTTGCTTGGACAACATCGAGACCCAGCTCATGCTATCGCCAGGCCCGTCCCCTCCCAAGCCGCGAAGGTTGGAGATGCCAAGCCCAACCCCAGAGCCATCTGAGCCAATCACGCCGACTGAGCGCGAGTCCCCCATCTCGGACAACACACGTGCCCAGCTTCAAGAAGCTGGCAAGAAGAGGCCACTGCCTGATTCGATCGAGGTGGAGGCCTCGAAGAAGCCGTGTTTGCTGAAATCCACTCCGCTGGCGATCATAGATGGTTCCGTGGCACCATCACCTGGTGCTGGTGATGGTCTTCCGGCCGAGGCCCCACGGCTCGAAGCGGAAAAGACGGAGAAAGCCACAAGCCATACTGATCTTGTGGCATACATGTCACCCAAGGAGCAAACTGCTGCCATCAATGCGGCAAAGGCAGCAAAAAAAGCTGCAGGGGATCCGGATGATGAGGAGGCTGAGGCTTCTGAGGGTGATGAAGATGGCGACAACGAGGATGATGAAGAAGAGAAGGTTTCTAAGAAGCGGAAACCCAAGGCAAAGGGCCAAGCCAAGCCCAAAGCGAAGGCAAAAGCCAAAGGAAAAGCGAAGGCAAAGGCCAAGGCGAAAGCTAAGGCCGGAGCCAAAGCAAAGGCCAAAGCAAAAGCTTTGGCCGGTGCAGCAGTGGAGCCGGAGCAGCCAGATGATGAGGATGATGATGGTGGCGATGCCGGCAGTAAGCCAGCCAAGGCCAAGGGTGGTGGCAAAGGGAAACGTGCCAAGCCCGCTGTGGATCCGGAGCCGCTTGGCAAGGCGGCAAAGGTGTCAAGGGGGCGGAAAGCCAAGAAGGCTGAGGTTGAAGCCCAGGAGCTTCCTCAGCCAGAGCTGGCTAGCAAGGTGGCACGCAGGGGGCGAAAGAGCGCGGACGAGGCTGCTGGGCCGGAGGCGGGTGATGCAGCAAAGGGCGGTGGGAGACGAGTCAGCTGGGAGAAGCTGATGGCCGAGGCCAGCACAGATGCTGAGAAGGCTGACATCGAGAAGCGATTCCTGAAGAGTCGCAAGTCGAATGCCTATCACCAGGCCCTTACAAAGGGCTTGAAGGGTGGCATGACGAAGGAGAAGGCCATCGAGTATGCCAAGGAGGTTTCTTGTCCGTACATATGCATACATGCTAGTGCTCTACGTAGATAGCTCTCCACATGCAAGATCTTCGCTATCATCTGAGGCCTACAAGAAGACCCGGTAGGCCTTTCGTGGCCGATCATGGATGTGAGCCAGGTTCTATGCCAATTTAGGGTGTGGGCACGCATGTTGAGGATGATTTAGATTGTGTGCTAGGTGTGCGATAAAGCTCTCCAATCTATAACTCTAGAGCCCAGACATCCGCTTCATGCGCTTTTCCCACACAGCTTTCCTTTACCGAGCTACGTGCAAGTGTCCACGCAGCTATGTCTACAAAGTCGACCATCCCTAGAAAGGGCTTCCGGGGTGAACCAGTGTGCCATGCGTAGTTCGTCACGCAGATCGAAAAATGCGCAATGTGATGCTCGAATGGCCGATGCAACGCTTGCAAGCTACTAGCTACATGCATGTAGATTACCCACCGCACTGCAGGTACACGGTGCAACATGGACGAGGAGAACTGGGCTATGTTCTCTGACTCGGAAGAGCCAGGTCGGGGCATGCCTTACTTTCCTCTTCTGTGCTGATCGAGTTGTCATGGCCGCTACAGTTTCAACCATATTATAAAGTTGCCCCGCCTCCTCTTGGATCGAGAAAGAGGGGTCTCGCCATAGAGATCAGATAGCCTGCAGCTACAGCTACCATGGAGGAATCCATGGTCACGAACTTGATTCAGGTGGGTGCCCCAAAAGCTCCCTTGGCTCTACTCTTTGTCCCCAAAATCTAGGGTCTAGGGGTTCCTTAATATTGGTACGTGAGTTGATTGCACCCCACAACCTAGGTTCTGGTGGCCATCGTTCTTCTGCTTGGGTGGCATCGTTCTCCTCGATTGTGCCACACGGGGGCTTCTTTCCAGTTCTTCGACATGTTTGCTGGTACCGCAAATGCAACACGAGTTTGGTGTCTTAGCTACGCATCATGCTGCAGTGCTAGTTCTCGATCATGTCAATCGCAGGACTTTTCGCACGATCTTGCAAGTTGTAGATATAGCTAGTAGACATGTTGCATATCAGGACAAAACGTGGCTACAAGTGTGCCACCTACGATTGGGACATCGATCCGAAGGCCATGGATTTTAATTCTCCAGCCGGGTTCCTGTAGCTCGCTAGCACATGGCATGCTGTCGAGTCATATGCAGATGGTTGCAATGCTCATCCAAGTCTCGCTTTATGGGTGGTTCTACATGAAAGTGTTGATGCAGTCAATCTGGCTGGCCCGGAGTGTGGAAGCTGGGGTGTCCCGGCTCGTGGAACATCTAAGCGCTCCGTGATCAATGTTCTGGGCCGCCAAGCAATTGCATTCGTGAGCCGGGCCAACTGCATGATTTCTCGGAGTCTTGCCTAATAGTATATGTCCATGGCACACAAGTATAATATTTGCTGATTCGCTGCCGTTGATCTATCCGTTCTCTAGCTGTAAGGCTGGTGGCCCTGATACTGGTGATGCTGGCCAGACACGCCATCTTCATAGTCGAGCAACCGTCGAGCTCGCTGCTGGCTTGCCATCCCAGGTTTGATTGGCTCAGGAACAAGATTGCATATGTACCTTGGCTTCGGAGGTTTCCTTTGGGGGGGTTCCAATGTCGATGCAAGCGATCGTTGTAGAGCCCTCAGAATATCATATGGACCCAGGTCTTTGAACAAAGATTCTGGATGCTTCACCACGGTGCTTCTTGCCCCAAAAGATCAATCGTATATTCAAATTCACCAATCATCAGTGGCCTAGACCTTGGTCGCCTCAGCAAAGAAGCACGCAAATCCGCCAGTGTGAAAACCGTGGGAGCCTAGGCCTGCAACAGAAGCCAATAAGCTAGAGTGTGCCTATGCTTAGATGCCGGTTAGCGAGCTAAGAACGCTACCACGATGCCCGGGGCAAGAAGGTCTTCAAGGGGACCAAAGCTATGAAGGGCACGGCGAATCTTGGTTGTCATTCGTGACCGATTCTTGCACAACCCAGCATAAGCCCGAAAGCCCAAGCCCAAGCTAGATAACCACGCCTAGATCCCAGACTTTTGAGGCCCGGGGAAGCCAATCTAGGAAGCTATCAAGCCCCAGACTCCAAGCTCCTTCCCCAATACTGTATAAAGATGAACTTTCCGAACCTTGCCCAAAACCCTACAGGCTAGGCTTTGGGACCTGACCATCCTTTGAGGCTTGGGGCCCATATCGATAGGCAACCCTAAACCCTAATCCCGAGGCCCTAAAAGATCTCATCACACGGAAATCCCAAAGCCCAAGCTTTTGAGGGTATGTTATCACATTCCACCTTGTACAATTACAAACCCGACGTCCCAAACCCTTCCAACCCCAAAGTCTCATCCCTGTAGGTATTACACTCGAGCCCAATACAGTCCCTAAGCCCTAAGCCCAGCCCCGTGGAGAAGCGTCGCCTTATCAGGCCATTGGCCGTGCAGGCCACTGACCGGAAGGGGGAGGGTAATACGAGGGTCTCTGGGTTATATATATATATATATATGGGTTATATATAATATATATATATGCTATGGGTCTATAGGTCCCTATATATACATATATATATATCCCGACAAACCCACAGGCCCTCAACGATGCAGGTGTAGCTATTTATGACCCAACCCCACCCACGTTACTTCGCACTAGATGCGAACCGCGCGATCGTAGTGGCAAAGTTAGACAGCCCCTATCATATCCCTAAAACCACCAACCCCTACAGCCCTCAAAGCCCTAAAGGCCGGAAGCAGTTGAAATTTAATTGGCACCCGCTCCGGGCTTAGTCTAGCTGAAGCCAACCCGAGACTCAATTCCCATAAGTAACCAGTTCTCTGAAACCAGCCGGTTTCGCATGGCCACTAATTACCCGAACCTAGCTCATGCACCCTGGGACGGGTCAATTTAATAGAACTGGCTTGAATCCTGGCATATATATATATATTATATATATACTATTTATATTTTATTACAATATATATATATATATATATATATGCCGGGATTCAAGTCAGCTCTGCCGCTAAAGTTTCAGACCCTCCGGAGTTGAGGGTGTTTAGGGGCTCTATAGGTGTTTCAGGCCGGGGTGTGTATGCAGCAGGGTATATATTATATATATATATATATATATATATATATAGGATTTATGGTAAGGTTTAGGGGTTTGGGTGGGTTTAAAGGTTTTGGGTATTAGGGGGCATTTCGGGTGTTTCGGGGCATTTGCCAAGGACCTACCCTCCAGGATTCCCGAAGCGCATCTTGGACATGTACGAGGAGCACCGAGACCTGCCAAGGGCTGACTTACGATGCAAAATTCATGTCGACCTTCGAAAGACAGACCGGGAGCTCTTTATGCATATGAGCGACGACGACCACTGGCCGGATGCGTGTTTGCACGAAGTGCTGTTTTACTTGTCTGCAAGCAAAGACATATATGTGCCAGAGTCCTGGAAAGCGTGCATTGACGAGTACATCGTGCATGTTCGGAACACAGCAACTCATCAGCACAAAGACGGAAACCATTCTAGTGTGGTTGCTCTCTTGCTGCATACGGTCTAGCAGCTAGCATGGTCTAGCCTAGGTTTGTGCTGACGAAAGAGTACTTCTGGAGCTGAACAATCTACAGCAGCAGTTTCCGACTGCCTCGTAGTGGGCCTGGTTGCTGGCAGCAAGTTCTTTTAGGGTCCGGCAGGGGGCGCCAGTGGCTAGATTTAGAACATAGGGCTATCTCGAGGTATAGGGTCAAAACAATTACGTGCACTTTTCGAATTTGTCCACAGCAACACTAAAACACTGGGCCCCGGGTACCCGCAATACGGGCGCAATTACCCGCAAAACGCGCGCAAAAGACCGCAAAACGGGCGCAATTTAGAAAGTGTACCGCTTCCCAGAAACATTTGAGCACTTTTTGTTTGTATCGAGCGCTTTTGGGGCTCTAGATCTTCGGCATGCAACCTTTGCGTGCACTTTCGACTTTCCTGGGTGGTGTGCCTTCCCTCGAACGATCCATGACGGCCCCTTCTACCGCGCTCGATTTGGATTCCATGATCGCTGTTCTCTGGTTGCACTGATCATAGTCGATGGGAGCCCGACATACCACTAGCTAGCTTATTAAATTCCCATCCCAGGCCTCGCAGAAGAGACTCCAAGAGCTCCAGCTGGAGCTGGCGACGGTTCCGGCCACGCCTGTCAAGGCGACCCCAGGCTGGAAGTTATATGTCTAGGCCCAGTTTCGATCATCATGCTAGCTTATCGATCTTAGCAGGTGGAGCAGGGCCGGCTGTGGCGGAGGCTGCCGGTGCTCATGCAGCAGGCAACGCTGTGAAGAACTTAGCTGATGTAAAAGCCCTGCCGACAGAGCTGGAACGTGGCGCTACGTTCCAATCCCAAGACGCCCAGAAGCTCACACCCGAGCCGAAGTCCGACACCGAGCGAACCCGAGAACTCCCTGGAAAACCTCTTTTGCACGTGCAACCGGCACGCGAGACGGCCCCGATCAACCGCCCCAGTGACCACGGCCCCCTGGCTGGCCGGGCCTTCTCCCCAACCAGAGGAGCCAGGACGCCGCCGCCGCCAGAGTCCACGTATCCATCCTCGGATGAGCAGGAGACACCCGCCAAACCGCCCAAGAAGGCCAGGATGAGCGATGACCCCAACTACTGGAAGCCCCTAGCTTATATAAAGTGTGAGTCCATAGATCAACCCCAAACCCGGCCAAATCATGCATGCATATGCAGCTAAGGATGTACCGGTACTTTCAGCCCAAAGCCAACGGTGAGCTTAAGTGCTCATCGGAGGCACTCGCCCTTTACCAAAGCGAATGCGGACGAAACTTTACACATATGTGGATCCGATGTGCACGCTTGCGGCTGCTCCTGCTAACTAGATCGATCGCCATGAAGCAAAACCTATCCGAGGTAAGAAGCTGTCTGAGATGCTCACGCAGCACGGAACGTTTGGAAATGTGGAGTTGGCTATCCGCAAATGGAAGAAGGAGACCCGGGACAAACTGATCGGTGGTGCTTGGGTCACGAAAACGATCTTGATTCAGAAGCACAACCACACAAAGAGTCTTAGCTGAATCCTAGTTCCATAGCATGCTAATCGAATCCTACATGGCCAGGGTTTAGAGGCATGCAATATGCTATATTATGTCGAAGACTGCAATAATCCCCGGAATATCGCCCAATAGCCTAAGCTATACACCTAGCTGGACCTAGCTAATCCCGATATAAGCTAGAACCCAGACCTGAAACCCTTGAAAACGATTCCCTAAACCGCTAAAGTACTTAAGTACTGAATGAGCTCAAACCCCCTAGGGACACGCAGATTTGTGTACGCTAAGGCAACCCCAACCTATCTGAAACACCCCGAGCCCACAAGCTAGCTCAAGGACTTTGGAGCTTATGCATGGGTCAGGGCTATATATATAGCATGGTTTCAGGCCCCGCTTTGTAATTATTAGAGGTTTCAGGTCGGGGTTTAGGGGAAAATTCCCAAACGACCGGGCCGCTGATGCTCGAAGCAAACACACACCCAGCCTTATATTGCCACTTTAAGGCAATCTGTGACCCTGAACTCCGGCCAAACCGCGAGCCCAAAACTCCTGAACTTAATTGAAGTCCTCGAGCTGATATATTGCCCCAACTTCGATCACTGTCATAGGGTGTTGCTATCGGAGAGGGTGAAGGGTTCAGGGGTTAAGGGGTTGAGGTTATTAAAGGGTCGACCGATATGAATTCATAGGCTAGCGAGATCTCTATCGGGTAAGGAGAACCCAAACCCCTTAAAATCAGCCGAGGCAAATGGCTGACCGAAGTTTCGAGTGGGCCCGGGCAAGGAATCTGGTTAGGATGAACGAGGTTCATGGAGAGGAAGAGGCTTGCCTCGTCCTCGAAGATTCCTTTGCGGTCAACGAGCAGACAGGGTGGGAAGGTACCGTGAGTGGTGCAATGGATCTTCCCGCTTCTTCAGCTGCATACATCATGTTACAACAGTCAGTTTGTGCTTGCACAATATCAGATGATACCGTGATACCGAACTAGTTAAGGATGACTCGGGGACACTGTTGCAGAGGGGATTCTCGATGGATCCCACCCAGCTTGGCAGTGGGGCTGATGGATCGAGCTCACAAGCTCAGCAGGCTTTGAATGCATGTGCTGCTGCATCTGGGAGTTTCAAGACTTTTGGCTCACATTATATGATCGATGTCTTGCTCTGCCTCTCCTTCCCTTCTCTATTTGGTTGTGTCCCTGTCTTATTATCTTTCGCTCTCTCTCTCTCTCTCTCTCTCTCTCTCTCTCTGTCTCTCTATCTCTCTGTCTCCCTCTCCACCGCCTTCCTCAATCTCTCTCTCTCTCTCTCTCTCTCTCTCTCTCTCTCTCTCTCTCTCGCTCTCACTCTATATTTTCCCATACGTGCTCCAACGATACACCAGGAGCACATATGAAACGCTCTCTCTCGCTCCCTTTGTTTCCTTTCTCAATCTACCTCCGTACTCTCTCTCTCTCTCTCTCTCTCTCTAATGATCAACCTATCTATTTTCTCCCTCCCTCTCTCTCTTCTCTCTCTCTCTCTCTCTCTTTCTCTCTCTCTCTCTCTCTCTCTTTATCTCTCTCTCTCTCTCTCGCTCTCTCGCTCTCTCTCTCTCTGGCTTCCGTCTTCTCTCCCTGTCTCTTCCTCTCCCCTTTCCCTTCGCTCTCTCTTCCTCATTCATTCATTCTCTCTCTCTCTCTCTCTCTGTCTCTCTCTCTCTCTCTCTCTCTCTCTCTCTCTCTCTCTCTCTCTCTCTCTCTCTCTCTCTCTCTCTCTCTCTGTGAACGATACTCAGGCTGACTTTCCCAACGATTTCGCAAACATCTTCGCTTGTGAATCTGTTGCCTGCCTTCGTACAAACGTTGGGCAAGAAGATTGACTTGGGGGTGGATTCCAAGGACCCGCATGCATGTATGCACGTACCCGTACTTGTGCACACGCGCATGCTAGCTCCCGTTGCAGGAAAAGCTTGAAAAGAGCAGCTGCCCACGCGCCCAACTGCAGCTAGGCTGTAATAAGTTTTGAACCCGAACGAAAGCCCCGCAAAACCCTAGTTAGCTAAGGCCTACACCCAAAACCTCCGAACAAATCCCCGAGGCTTGCCAACGGTGTGAGTGCTATCCTCGATGCTATGCAAGCTTGCTACGAGAAGATGACCAAGTTGCAGGCATCCTTAATCTCGGAGCAAGTTTCCGAGAGGCCACATGACGTTCGACGTGCCAGCCTGCAGTTGCTGTGTCGCCACTGACATAACACATGCGGTCTGCAGGGATGCAAAGCAAGACTTGCAGAAAGCATATGTGGAGTGCACCCGGCTTGATGTTGCACTGTCGAACATTCTGCAGCGATCCAAGACACTCGGGCTACCAGGTAGGTTGGTGCTTAGTCCCCCAAAGCCCTTAACCCTAATCCGTAGCCGAGGAACATCAAGTCGACACCCTCCTCGACTGGTGGCAAGCCTCCGAAGGAGGCTAAGGAAAAGAAGGCCAAGAAGGACAAGTCGGAGAAAAAAACCAAGAAGTGAGCCGAAGGAGACCTAGAGCTACGAGTGGTTTTGGGGCACATGGGGCTGAACCTCATGTGATGCTTGCAAAATTGATTCAATCAATTTTGCCCTTTTGATCAATCATCTCGATCTATAGGACTTACAAGCTCGAACGGGAGCATGAAGCTAGCTGCTGAGTTTCGGATTCGGAGAGCATAAAACAAGACTGGCTGCTTGCAAGCGATCGATCAAGAATGTACCGGCATGCGGTTTCACATCTTGAAACACTCATCTGCCCTCGTTGCAGGTTGTGGCCAAGATGCTGCATCAGACAGCGGTGAAGGCCGCCCCAGAACCTAAGATCCCCAGAGTAACCTTATCATGTCGAGCTTGGCCCTGCTTCGCTGCTGCTTTCGCGATCGCTTCAGGTTCGGAGCACGAACTAGAGCAAGAGCTTATGCAGATCTTCGAAGATGGGGCTTCTGGGCTTCATCGGTCTATGCATGTACTCCAATCTCAGTGGCCGGATATCTGAAGTGCAGCCCGAGGCTGAATCAGCTCGACGAGTCGTTCGCATTGCAGCAGCTGCATCCAAGCGCTTCCGTCAGCTGGGTACCTGAGCTGCCCCAAACCCCCAATCCTAAATCCCTAGGATCACCCTAGCATTTTACATATGCAGCTTGCCACCTTGGTAGGTATTGCAGATGAAGCTATGGATGCAATGGCTTCGTGCATCGTTAACAACCCGGGGGAACAGAATATCCGTAGGAACTTGCACAACTTGGTACACCGAAGGGGCAAAACCCTGCCATTGCAAGTGGACATGGCTGAGTGCTCGGTCAAGAAGCGACTGGGTAGAAAGACGCTTACAAGAGTGCTCTGGCCAGTATTGTTGTTGTCGACATGGCTGCAGTTTGGTTTGTCGAATGCAAGCAAACTGTTTTTGGCTGGCAGTCACATATCGGACCCCGACCGATGGCAACGTACTTTCCGCAGATTCTGGAAATCATACAAGGTGATCGATCCCAGCCACCCGATATACTCTTTGCCCGACGGTACAGACCTGGGGTTGTATTGGCCATATACTGTACACGGGGATGAAGGCCGTGGACGGAACAAGACCCCTGTCATGGTGGAATCATTTTGCCCAGTCATATCTCGTCGTGGTATGAAGGTTACCAATTTGAAGGGGCAGCTGATGCAGGTAGAATTTTTTTTAAGCTGCTTTGTGTCTGCTATATTGACCGATAAGTACGAGGGTTACCACACACCGAATTTACCGAGGCATGTCTTCCTGACCCGTCTGTTGTACACAGCTATCTCCAGCGCCGATTATGCTCCAAGCTCATTGGATGATCTGAACCTACGTATGGCTACAGATTGCAAAGAGCTTTTCGAAACGGGTATTACCGCTACTTGTTGTGCATCGAGACCCCAAACTATAAATTAAGATCAAGTCGTCACCATAAACCCGCTTATATGTTGGGAAGCCGCCGAGGTGCATGTGGATGGAGTCCGATACAAGCTGCACGCAGCCTGTGTCGGAGTCAAAGGCGACTGGCCGTACATTCGAAAATGCTTCCGGCTAGCCACAGGCTTTACAAGCCTCAGGATCTGCCATTTATGTCCGAGTTCAGACTCTTGCCGGACAGGGATCTCTAGAACTTCCGATATTATTGTAGCAGTTCTATTTTGATAGGGTTTGGGGGTTTGTGGAGTTTTGGCTTTAAGTACCTGTTTGGCCTTAGCTTGATATACTTTCTTCATATAAGTTCCGCTTTGGTTAACGTAATAGGAATGGTGGAACCTGGGCGCCGGCAACACCGATGTGCGAGATTGGGCAGTTGATTCTGGGGATGATCCGTTCAAGCAGGATGAACCAGCTGCTACAATTCGACTTATCCCTGGCTTAGAGGGTCCTTTGCGAGCTCGCCCGGACCAGATGCACATCTACGGTTGCGGCTTTGGCAAGGATTTTGCGGCTTCAGGAGTCTTGCTTCTATCCCGCATTAACTTTTGGAGAGGCCGCTCGATGGATGCTAGGTTGGCAATTGCCTTCGACGAGTTCCGAGCATGGCTCTCTGAAAACAAGCTATCAACAAGCTTGATCTCTTTCAACAAGGAAAAGACTTTCAAGCTCAAGAA